GCAATTTTGCAGTTTGTTCTGGTGTCCCATAAATATGAATGCTTTTATTGCCAAGAGATGCTGGCAGTATTTGTGAGAAGTCACCAGAGCTGGTATTTAACCTAGTGCCTGAGCAGGTCCATGACCCGATATTTATATGCACTCCGTTTGGAAACACTGCATAAGAGTATCAAAGACAAGAAAGTTGGTGTTGTGCTTTCATTTTAAATCTAGGTTCTTGTGCCAGGTGTTAGGAAAGCATTCAAAATTCCACAGTGTCAACAAGAAGATTTTTCCTAGCCTCAGTGGAGCTCTGGTTGAGTCTCTCACTGAAGGCAGGGTTGGCCCTTTCACCAGAAGCACAGGACTGGTAGCCCCCACCTTATAAACACAGTTACCCACGGGAGAGGTTTCTAATCCAAAAGATTAGAAGTGACTCCAAAGGTAGTTTTGCCCAGCAGCAATTTCTCAGGCTGTGGGAGCCAACCTCGAAAGCTCCTGAATAAAGTATGCCAAAGGAAAAAACAAAGGCTGACCAAAACATGAGGACCTGGCAAGCAAAACTTCAGAAGTCTTTTTTTTTTTTTTCCCACAGTTTCTTTCGAAAAAGTGTGAATATTCGTAGCATCTTTTAAACCTTTCTAGCCGAAAAATTTGTTCCTACCACTCCTAATCTCCATATTTGGAGTGTCCTTTCACTATTTAGAACATTACAGTTTTACAGCTAATTGTGGGTAAAAAAGCCTTTGGTAGGTGGAATAATATGAGACATGCCCTCACTTCCTGACTTTTTTGAGGACAGTAACCCATGGCCAGGCAGGCTTTCTTACTTGTCACTGTATGGTTCTACATGGTGGGGTGATGCACAGCAACAGATACTCTCCAGTGTCATTGGCAAGAAGTGGGGCTGATGATATTGGGTCACTTCCCACAGGAAGGGCCTACAATGAAGAACATGGTGTTTATCTGGCATGAATGGTTGGGAGATTATGTCATTGAAAATGCACTGCACCCCCACACTAACACCTGCTATATCCAAAGTGCTATATCCCCATTTAGCATCTGCATTTCTGATGTGGATGCATTGTTCTGTCTGAGTTAACTTGAGCTGTTTTAGGGAAGCATTCTGAGTGTTGCTGAGCAGAGATAGCAGCACACACAGATATAAAAGCATTGTTAAGACAAACTTTATGTGGGATGTTCTGCCAAATGGTTCCCTTCCCTTCCTCTTCTCATTTCCTTGTTCTCCTTCAGCCACTGGAGAATGCTAATCCCTTTATTCGCTTATGCGTAAACTGGTGACTTTCCAGACCTGCCACAAAAGACATTTGACTAGATGACTTTTCTGGAAAGATGCAGCAGGAGGAGATGGAAATGTTTTTCCTGAGGATTTTAGTAGTGCTATATTTGTATTGACAGTCAGCATATGAAGGACCTTGCACTGACAGCTGTAAATAAAAAGAAAAATACTACAGCTGGTTTCATTCTACCCTTTTACATAAACTTTTGTTTCAATATCTGTTTTGACCTTTAGAAACAACAAATGTACAATGTCTTGCTCATCCCAAGCAAGCTTTGACATTTTATTCTTAATACGCAAAAGAGCAGGCACACAACTACATCTGAAAGGAGAAAGTATGGAGACACCTATGGAGAGCAAAGCCATTGCTGGGTCCAAAATTTTCTCAGAATTAAATATGAAAATTAAAACCTAGGCATTGGAAAACTTAGTCTTTATTTCCTCATCTTGCAAGTACACTGGCTAAAGTCCTTTCTCTTCTCTCTTTCCTTCCAGCCAAGAATGTCTCTTTCTGTCTGTTCACCCACTGCTGGACAATCTATCCCTGCAGCCCATTCCAGAGACAGTTGGCAGGGTGAGCAGGGATCATCATCTTTTCTGATGTGGGTGGGCATTGCAGAGCAACATGCAAGAGTAAAGAGGCCCAGGGATGGCTCTAAAGGCTCACAGAAGACATTCTTGTCCCTTCATCAAAAATTATTTCTCCACTTTACTTAAGAACACATTTAGTGTATCGGGGCTGCTGTGATGTTAAAAGAATAGTTATAGAATGTTTTTAGGAGATGTGATCCCAGGCCTTGTCTTGTACAACTGTAAGAGTCCTACTAGTCCCCTAACCCAGATACTGACATGGGAGATGAGCAGTGAACAGCCCATTTCCAAGCATTTAAGTCTGCAAATTTGGTTCTTCCTTCTTCCACTGATTTCCTCAGAGCACTTC